TATAGAATTAGGAACATGAGTTGCATGAGTCATTGAATAGTAAATGTATTTGGTTATGAGATTAATGTATTGAATTTAATATTGAGCATTATTTATGAATGTTTGAGTTGGCTTGACTGAGTTGCATATATTCTTAGATGTTATTCATATATGTTATATGTGTTATACATGTATGATATATATTCTCACTCATCTCGTTGTTTTTGAGGTTGTTTTTCTTGCTTGGGTTGAACAACATGTAGGAGATGATCAGGTATATGAGATTGAGCATGAGGGTGACAAATCTTAAGGCTTCAATTTTATTTTATGGATCTTGTTCTAATTAGTGTGGCATTGAGACTAGTGGACAATTCATGTTTTATATTTTTTTTTCTTCTAAGAGTCATGTTTAGTTTACCTTATTATGTTTTGTTTTCTTTGGGATTTTGTAAAAGTTGATTTTTGCATCAATTTATGCACTTATATCTTGTTTTATTTTCCTTATTTACTAATTGGAATTTTTATTCCGTAATTTAAGATTTGTGAACCTTTTTACAATACAAGTAAAGAATTTTATTTTATTTAATATTTTCTAAAGAAATTTATTTCCTTAATAATGTCACCTATTAAACATTAGGGGTAGAAGAATGTCACAATAATACTCCCACTTAGTGAGATTCTCTAGTTGAGGAACCAAAGCCCTTTATGGCTCCTCACTCACCAAGCACAAGCTAGCCAAGCATCCTAAGCAATTTATGGGTCATCTTATTGAGTGAACTTCTTTTTCTCAATGGCAACAATGTTCTATTCCTCCTCCCTTGCTAGATGAGCCTAAGCTAGCTCAATGCCAAAAACACTTTGTGGCTTTTCTTGCTAAACAAAATTTTCTTACTTAGTAGAGTTTCAACTAAAAACCTAGATTGTTGACCTAGTTCTGGGTTTTAGCCTTTATCCCTTTTAGGCCTACTTAATGAGAATCATCTCGTTGAGTGAGCATACACACACCTTAATGGTTCTTGCATTCTCTAACACTCTCCAACCTCCCACACTAACATTTAATCCATCTAAACTTTCCAAAACAACATTTAAAACATGAATCAACTTTAAAACGGTACATGCAACAACATTTCGGCATAAAATTAACAATTAAAACTTCATCTTCAAAACCCCCTAAACCCCAACATACACAACTTCAATTCTCAACATTGACCTATATCCAACTCAAAACAACAACAATTATGCTTATACAATCTATATAAGCTATAATCAAGCTTTTCTTACCTCAATTGAGATCTTAGATAGAAGAAAATTGAGGTGGAAAAAACTCCCTTTATAGTTCTTACTAAAGTTCCCTCATCTTTGATCTTCAAAATCTCAGCTCTACAATCTTCCTTTGACTTCAAGATTCACTAATCTTTAGCTTGGAGAAGATCCATGGCCTTAGAGTCACTTAGAAGCTTAAAAAAACTTGAAAAAAGCTTGGTGTACCTGCATGGGGATACTCCGGTAAATTGCTACTCCTGCCGGGTCTTCGTCTTCCGTGATGTATCCTAGAGAAAGAGAGGGGTACCTGCAAAAGCCACTCCAATGTTTAAGTCAGTCTTCGGTCTCGGAGTTGGGAATGCTAATCAAATTGGTCATTATCAAAACGTACCTTTATCAGTAGCTGATTACTTATTTATACTAACCTTAATGGATTTAGGCCCACAACTAGGCCCATTAGATCCAATAATCTTTTAGTGTTATCTATATCCGGTATACTTGGAGTTTCCAAAAACCTTCTCTCTAACTTCTCTTTAGAAATATTGAGTTATGAACTTATGAAGTTCATTTCTTAAAATCTCACATACTTAAGTTATATCTTTTATAACTTAGGCCTAGGTTATCCCAACTCTAACCCTCACCCCAACATAGGCAAAATAACACAAAACAACTTAAGACAACATAAAATACCTCACTTAATAATTAAGAAAAACATTGTTGTTATAGTCTTGATATTTTATAGGCCCTAGAGGAAACAATAAATATGGGCCTTTGTGTATTTTTTAAAAACCATGTTATTGATACGAAATATCCATCGACTTTACCAACGAGTTAGTGACTAATCTCTATCAATGAATTTGACTAATTATCTTGATACCTTGTTTTAGAGGATCAAGTCTAATATCACTCAAATTAATGACTTTTTGGTATAAGTCCTTATATATAAACATTTTAAAGCATAAACATTTATAACATAAAAATAGATACATAACTTAATTAAAAATAATATTTTATTACATTAAACAAATAACTTAATGTAAACAAATTTAAAAAAGTACTATAGTTTTAATTCAATTTTCTTATATACTATCATTTATTATAAAACATTATATAATAACTTTGAAGACTAAAAGTGGTACATCTCCAAACTAAAAGGATCAAAATACGATAACAAAAAATTAAATTCTAAAACCAAATTTGAAAAGTTCTAGAGATAAAAACCATATTTTACTATTTTTTTATGAATATAATACATAAAAGAAACCAATAATAAAAATAACATGAATATATAATCATATGACAATTTCATATTTAGATATAAAAAATATTAGATATAATTTTATTTTTAAAAGTAATATAAAAGAAGTAAAATATACAATTTAGTTCATTTAACTTAAAGTCATCAATGTAAATTACACTTTCCTCCCCTTAATGTAAGTATTACATTATTCACCCTTCATATTTTAAAATATCAAATAAATTACACTTTTATCTATCATAGATATAGATATTATACTATCGCACTCCAATTATATTAATTTGGAGTATTTAACTTAAGGGACGAATTTGTTAAGGGGGAAAAAATATTTATTTTAATAAAAAAAAGATGATATAATGTTTACATCTTTAAAGAAATGTCCGTGTAAAGAATATTTTATAATATTTTTTTTAACAAAAGTAAACAAAATTTTATTGAATTTTTTTTTAAAAAAAATAATTAAAGTGTCATCAATATATTGAAATATATTAAGGAAAGACATCGTAATGTGTAATGTTTAATATATGAGGAGAGAATATTATAATATTTTAATAAATAATATAAAATAATTATCTCACAATTATATAATGTTTTAAAAAATTTGAAGATTTTTTAGTCCGAGGCCGTTACACTTCCGGACAACTCTCAGGGCCAGGCTGCTCATTTAATATTTTCCATACCCATTTAACATTTTCCATGTATAAACATCATTAACAACACTAGGAACATATGATGGAGCAACTAGGGATGATAAATATACTTATATTCACGGGTAATACTAGAACCCGTTCCAACATTGATGGGAAATACCTAGTTTGACCGAGTATGGGTACGGATGCGGGTAAAACCTAATATATTAAATCGGGTACGGGTACGGGTATGTACTTACCCGCCCCGTACTCGTACTCGTCCCCGTTCCCGTACCCGTCCCCGTTCCCATTTTTAATTTAATATCCATTTTTAATTTAATTATATTAAAGAATTTTAATATTTTTTTATGTGTGATTATTTATTATAATGTGAGATAGAGAAATAACTTAATTATAATTATAATATAAAAAATAATTTAAAAATATCATATTTTTTTTATAAAAATAAAAAATAAAAAAATTGACGGGTACGGGTATGGGTACGGGTACGGGTATACCCGATACTTGCGAGGACGGAAATGGGCATGAAAATCATATACTCGGGTACGGGGACAAGGATGAGTTTGACTTGCAGGGACGGGGATGAGTATCATGAAACCCATACTCGACCCGTCTCGTTGCCATCCCTAGTAACAACCCTAGTGAAATAGTAAAACAAACCATTTCCAAATTTTAGAAATAAAAATAAATCATTTTTTAAATTTATAGGACTAAAAATAAACTTCTCCTAAAGTTAAGGGAAAAAAGGTATTAACTATTTTTTATTTCTAAGAGATTAAACAGATTTATTTTTGTTGTTTATTTTTATAAAATATTGCAAAATAAAATAAGATGATATCAATCCTATATATTAAATAAAAATCTCTATCTTGTACGAAAAATGTTTTTAAGAATTTTTTTTAATGAGTAGATTCTGAAGAATTTTTTTAACTTTTTATCTAATTTAATTTTTATTTATCATAATTAATTTATAAATTAAGTTTTGATATTTTTAAAATAGATTATTAATAAATAAAAATAATACTATGATATAAATTATTTATCGTAAATTTAAAATATAATTTATATATATAGTATTTACATATACAAATTTTAAATATAATTTATATTAAAATTAAAATTTATTTATATATATAACTTAATATAAATTTCAGTAACATATATATTTAGTACAAATAACTTCATAAAAATTTTAATAACATATATTTATATTTAACTTGTGCATTGCACAATCTAAAATGATAATACTATTATATTGTTCTTAATAAATTTATTGAAAACTGAAAAATCATGTAAAACTTGAATGTTTTCTTTCACATTAATTATAAAATTTGTTTTGATTTTAAAATTTTCTTCTTGTATCAATCAAAGAATCAAATTCTATTGTGACAATTATTTAAGGACTTTCCTTATTTTTAATTAAGGGTCTCAAACTTAATGTGGCAAGTTATTTCATTTCATGTGTTTTTTTATTATTAATTCACTTTATCAGTAAGCATTACAATGATAATAACAAGCTCCGAGAGCTTATACATATTACTCTAATTCCACTACTTTTTATTATCAATTCAATTTTTGAAGTAGTAAACATCTGATATATCCGAACTAGCAAATTTTAGTATACATTTAATTTTAGGACAGGTGTTGCAAATCTTTGCTGTCCTTTTTGCAATATTACTCATGTCTGTTGAGTATCGTTACCTGACTTGGCCCCATGTCGTACCACTTTGGCCTCCATAATTTTTTAAAAAACAAACAGAAATCATAAGTTGGTAATTTCAACAAGCTTTCATAATTAATATAAGCCATTACCTACCATCTAGGCCATGGAAAAACTTTGGACCAATATGTCAACAGAAATAACTCAAGTAGCTTCTAACTTTTAGATGTTAACGAAACATAATAATCTCATTAAAAAATCCACAGTTATCTCCACACTTGAGCATAGGCCATCAGATATCAGGTAATCTCTATAAATGCCAAATATTTGGAAGTAGTGTTAAAAAGAAATACTGAATCCCACGCTAAGCTTCGTACAAGAGAACTTCAACTCTTTGGCGATGATTATGTGCTAGCAGTGATGGTTTTCATCTTTTCTATCTGCCCTTGACAAGCTGCTCTCATTTGACCAGATTCTGAACAAGATAGAGGAATATATTTTTTTATACATATAGGGAAGTGTTTTGAATAGGAAAGTAAATATCAATCCTACCTTGAGAGGTTGAACAATTTGAATTGTCACTCTGTCTAAAGATGTGAACCAAGAAAGTTGGTGTAGTTCTATGAATGAGTTCAAAGTTGCAAACATCACCAACTTTCAAGTTATTGTGCTCCACAAATGCCTTCCATCCACCTAAGAATCTATATCTTGTTTTCGTCCTGCTTTTATGGATCACAAACTTTGCAGGCCAAACTCTCCCATTTAATTCCTGAAGGTTGATAAGTCTCTGCTTCATGTGCGAATCAAAGTGTATCCGAAAAAACTCGGATGGTAAACTCTGCCACGGAAAAGAGAAACAATTATTTTGTATTTCAATTTATGTTCTACACGCCAAATCTCTTTCTGCAACTTACCAAATGACCAGCAGAAGAACCCAAGTATGATGGATGTATGACAGCCAAGAAGAATGGATTACAAGGTTTGAAAGAATTTGCTCTATCAAGAGCTGTAACTTGGTTAGTAGTAGCCTTTGATTTTTCTGCAAAATTAAAAATCAATCCTACCTTGAGATACAAGGAATTGTTTTGAATGGAAAAGTAAAAATCAATCCTACCTTGAGGTGTTGAACAATTTGAACTGTCTGTCTCTCTAAAGATGTGAACCAGTAAGGTTAGTTTAGTTCTACAAATGAGCTCAAAGGTGCAAACATCACCAACTTTCAAATTATTGTGCTTGACGAATGCCTTCCATCCACTTTTGAGTCTATATCTTGGTTTTGTATTTCTATTGTTTTTCGTGATTAGATACCTTGAAGGCCAAACTCTCCCATTTAACTCTTGAAGGTTGATATGTCTCTGCTGATCGTGCAAATCAATGTAGCTCCTACAAAACTCACATGGTAAACCCTGCCATAGAAAAGACAAAAGTTATATTATTTTTAAAGGTACCTGTGTTCTACAAGCCAATTTTTTTCTGCAACTTACCAGATAAGAACCCTTACAATGGAGGTATGATCGACGCATGACAACCATGAAGAATGGATTACAAGGTTTGAAAGAACTTGCTCTATCAAGAGCAGTAACTTGGTTAGAAGTAGCCTTTGATTTTTCTGCAAAATTACAACTCCAAGTAAGGCAGACATTTTGTGATCATCTTTCATTTTGCAACACAGAGGTGCAGGCCATGTAAAATATCAAATGGTAAAGTAAATTAAGGACAACAGAATCTTATACCTTTGCATTTTGTGTCAGTATGATGCAGAGCCTCCTTCGACAATATCACAGTGTTCTCAACTTTAATACTCGTGCTACTTCTCAAATGATATAATGGAAGAAAATCCACTGCTAAGTTATATTTTCTCTTTTGACCTGGTCTATGATATTCCAAATTTTCGTCATTTGGAGGTCTATTTCCATGATTATTGGAGGCCTTCTCACCTTCTACTCTTTCTGAAGGGTAGTCTATCTCTAAGGCACTCATATCAAGGATGAATACCTGAAAAAGGGAAGTTCTTTGGCATCTGAAAACCAAAAGATGGCCATGAGCTAGAGAGTGATGCTCTGCAAATTCTTTCCAACCCTCTTCAAACCATATTTTACCATTCCGTTTTTCCAAATTCAATCTCCACTCAGCACCATTTGGGGTCTTAAGAAATAGACTATTGGGTAAGCCTTCTCCATATCTCTCCACAAACCTTTCCGGGAACATCTGTCAACCACATCAAACTAATGTGTATCATAAACCTCAAAGAGGTGTTATATTGCATCAATTTAAGCTAACATCTATCAAAGACATAGCAAGAGGTTTATGTAAGGTAGGCACAACTAAAAATGCAGACTTGAGAAATAAAAAATTGAAATGCTCGTGCTTACTAGCTTTCCATTATGAAGACTTTGAAGGGTTATGATCTTGAAGAAGTGGATTGGCTTCATCTGAGGCTGAGGTTGGTGAAGAGATTTGGTAGCCATTCATGAAGTGAATAAGAGAAGTGATTAGTAAAGGGTTGGAATAAAGAACAATAGCACAACCTGTAACTGTTGCACAAGTACTGGTTTTCCATAAACTGAACAATTAATAACGTTAGAACTAAAAAGTCATATCGAGAGAACTGTTGTATTCCTGCACGCAGCCTGGCTCTAGTGCTGTTCCCCAGACTCCAGACGCGTGCATTGGTGGACTGGTGTGGTGATGATTTTTTTATTTTCTTTTATTCAATGAAGCAAAATATATGAAAATGCAAATTAGAGGAATACCATGGATCCGTAGAAAAACCTTCTTCTTTTTTTTTTTCCTCTTCTTTTTCTTTTCCTTTCCTGTGTATGTTTTTAGTGTTCTTAAAATTAAAAGTTTTAATTTTGATTTATGTAAAAAGATTGTTTTTGTTTTTCTAAAACATGTAAATATTTTTTTTTTTGTAAAATATTGTTATCCTTAAAAATAAAGTGATATTTAAATATTTCTTCAAACAAAGAAAAAATTATTACTCTATTTATAAGATAATTATATTTTACAAAAATAAGTAATTTTAAAATTTTTACCATAAAAAAATATTTTTCAAAATTATTATATTTTTTAATAAAATTAATCAAGAATATTGGTTTAATTGCATTTTTTATCTCTCAAGTATTACAATTATGCAGTTTTGTGATCTTCAAGATTTTAATCGCATAATTTTAGTCCTTAAAGAATTACAATTGCGCGATTTTGGTCCTTCAATTTTTAATTGAACAATTTTAGTCCCTCGAATATCATAATAGTATGATTTTTGTTTCTCCCATTAAAAATTAATAATTTTAATATATATATATATATATATAATGTTTTAAAATTAAATAATTATTTATCTATTCAAATTAACGTATATTATAATTTTCGATATTATATCAATAATATTATTAATATATTTATAGATAAACTAATAATTTGATAAATATAACTTGTTATATATTAATATACTTTTACAAAAATATAAGTATATTAATTAGAAATATATATCTGATCTTATATATTTATATTTTTGTAAAAGTATATTAATATATATTAAGTTATATTTATCAAATTATTAGTTTATTTATAAAAAGGGTAAAAATATTATTGATATTAATTTATCAGTAATATTAAAATACTAATAATATATAAATTTTATTTATTTAGTAATAATAAATATATATCATTTGATACATTAAAAAAAAAAATATACGTTAATTTAAATAAACAAACAATTATATAGTTTTAAAACATTATATATATATATATATTAAAATTATAAAATTATTAAATTTTTAATGAGAAAGACTAAAATTGAACAATTATGATATTTAAGAGATTAAAATTGTTCAATTAAAAATTATGAGATTAAAATTACACAACTATAATCTTTTAAGGACTGAAATTACTCAATTAAAACTTTAGAGATCAAAATTGCATAATTATAATATCAAAAACACAATTAAGCAAAAAATATTTTATTCACAGTTTTGGAACGGGCAGAACGGCCCGTTCTGAAATCAGAACCGTTCTGAGTCACTGATGGTGTTTTAATTTTGCAACCAGAATGGCCCGTTCCGGTTTCAGAACGGGCCGTTCCGGTCCAGGTGTTTTCAAAAAAAATTCTCATCCACGTGGATGCCACGTATGCATCTACGTGGCATCCACGTGGCCAAAAGTTAACCCCGTTTAAATAATTTGGACGGAAGTCCCACATTGAAACTAATTAATTAATTTGTGACTAAATTGAAACCAATTAATTAGTTTGGGAATAAATTGAGACAAAAAATTAATGAGGGACTAAATTGAATTAAAAAAAGATTATAAGGGACCAAATTAAGTTTTTAGCCTATATTTTAACAAGATTATTATGTAAGCAGGTCGTAAATATTTATACAATAGATCGAATATAAGTTATTTAGGGAAGTAAAAATTTATATAATTTTAAAAATATTTTTGAGAATTTTTATACTTAAAAATAATTTTTATTTTAATAAAAAAAATTCTTAAAAACACTTGTAATTTATACAAAACAACCTCAAACTCTAAAAAAAAAAAAAGAAGAAAAATTTACTCTTAGAATCGTAACTCCACATATTTATTATATTGGGTCAGTAATCTGGCCCTTTGTGATCTTTTGTGATCTTTTAACCGTATTCAATGTGACCGGACATACAGTTGAGGAGTGGGAATTAAAAATAATACATGCATGTGTTTAAACCCAATGTCTTTCGAATTTAAATCCACTGTGTCTTTTTAAATTTATATTTTGAATCTAGGGTACCTAATTTCTTATTGTTAAACTTTATCTTTTGTCGAATTACTTTATTTCTTATATTTTGATTTCTTTTTAACTCATTTTTATCCTTAATGAGAGTGTTTTCTAATACTACTTCTTGATTTATATATATAGATATAATAATTTATTTTTTAAAAGTAAATTACCCCACTCACACAAGGTCCTATGCTGTCACTCCATAATACTATTTCCTGCTGTCATATTTGGAATATTACTTGCGTTGTTTTAAGTCTCTTGAACTTCGCTACCTTACCATACTTTTCTCGTTCAATCAACACTTTGGCCTCCGGATTAATATTTTGAAAATCATATAGAAATCAGAAATTGGTAATTTCGTCAAGCAATATAAGCCAATAATATGTCAACAGAATAATTCATTAGTAGCTTCTAACTTTTCAGATGTTGAGAATAAACTCATTCAAAAATAACCAATTATCTCCCATTAAAGCATATGCTATCAAGAAGCAGTTAATCTCAGCAAAGTTTGAAGTTCTTTGGTAATGATTATTTAGTATTCCTTTCGTTTTTTTTCATAATCGTTTTGTCAGAATTTGTTATTTTTTTTTTATTATTATTTTACTAAAATTAATGACTTATTAATTTTTTTTTTCTATTTTTACCCTTGATAATTAATACATGTTTACAGAACAATGTGTGTATTTATTTTTAATGTCTACTTATTTTTTCTCCAACTACCCATATAAAGTTAATGTGCATTTATAAGAGTAATATGTTCCCAACAAAATACTATAAAAAAATAATATAACCATTAATTCATGGACAGGTATAATTAAATACAGTAGGTTACAGTTCACGTGTAATCAATGTATTAATAATTAATGGAGTAAATTGCAGTTCAACAGTCTCAAAAATGCAAAAAAAAAAAAGGTAAAATAGGAAATTAAGTAATAAATATTTTTAAAAATTAAAATATCAATGATTTCCTTAAGTCTCGTGCAAAACCTTAAACGACTATGAAAAAAAAAACGGAGGAAGTAGTATTGTAGCAGTTGTAGTTCTCATATCTTTGCTCTGTCTTTGACAAGCTGCTCCCATTTAACTATATTCTGTACAAGGTTGAGGTGTATTCATATATGACATACAAGGAATTGGTTTGAACTTTGAATTAAAAAGTAAACACGAGTCCTAACATGATATGTTGAACAATTTGAATTGTCTGTCTCTCTAAAGATGTGAACCAAGAATGTTAGTTTAGTCCTACCAATGAGCTCAAAGGTGCAAACATCACCAACTCTCAAGTTATTGTGATCCACAAATGCCTTCCACGATAGTTTAAAATTTGAATACATCCTTTTTTTGTCTTGTTTAACTTTGCTGGCCAAGCTCTCCCATCTAACACCTGAAGGTTGATAAGTCTCTGCTTCATGTGCACATCAAAGTGTCTACTACAAAACTAAAGAGGTAAATTCTGCCATGGAAAAGAAAAACAGTTATTTTGGTTTTCAACTCTTGTTCAGCAAACCTAATTTTTTTCTGCAGCTTACCAAATGACTTCGAGAACCCACATATGATGGACGCATGACAAGCAAGAAGAAAGGATTACAACGTTTGAAAGAATTTGCTCTATCAAGGGCAGTAACTTGGTTAGAAGTAGCCTTTGATTTTTCTGCAAATTTACAACTCCATGTAAGGCATGTAGAAAAAAATAAGAGAGACGAGGTAATACTAATGTTGTGGGTGAACGTAGCAACTAACTGTGTTTTTTATTGAATAAAAGATGGCCTTTAAATAGCCATTCTACAACGTATTGAACTAACAAGAAGATAATAAAATATCTTATCAAATCAAAACTTATCAAAAAACTATCTTATCTAATCTGAAACAAAATAACTCAAAAGATAAATCAAATAATTCCAGATAACTTAAATCGGATAACTCAGATATCTCGGATATCTCGGAATCTCTAGAAATTTAAGATTTTCCAACAAGGCAGACATTTTGTGATCATCTTTCATTTTAAAGCTGCTAAAAATAGAAAACTACAGTATCTTTGCGATTTCAAAAATGGTTTACTAGACATGCAAGAGGTGTAAATTAAGGACAAGAAAAGCTAATAATCTGTGTTAACTTTTGAAGCTTTTTATGAAATGCTTGAAGACACGAAAAATTTTATACCTATGCAGTTTGTGTTAGTATGATGCAGAGCCTCGTTTGGCAATATCACGGTGTTGTCAACCTTAACACTCTTAGAGATTTCTCAATTGATATGACAGAAGAAAATCTACTGCAGAGTTATGTTTTCTCCTTTGACATTCCAAATTTTCGTCATTTGGAGGTTTATTTCCATGATTATTGGAGGCCTTTTCACCTTCTACTCTTTTCGAAGGGTAGTCTATCTCTAAGGCACTCAAATCAAGGATGTATACCTGAAAAATGGAAGTTCTTTGATATCTGAAAACCAAAAGATGGCCATGAGCTAGAGAGTGATACTCTGCAAATCCTTTCCAACACTCTTCAAACCATATTTTACCATTCCGTTTTTCCAAATTCAATTTCCACTCGGAACCATTTGGTGTCTTAAGAAATAGACTATTTGGTAAGCCTTCTCCATATTTCTCCACAAACTTTTTTGGGAACATCTGTCAACCACATCAAAATAATATGTATAATAAAGCTCAGAAAGGTTTTATATTGTATTAAATCAAGCTAAATTTATCAATTTTATATAGTTATGTATCCCTGTAAATTTGAAACTATCTGCTATTTGGAATAAAAGGAATGAGGTAAGTTAGGCACAACTAAATATGCCGACTTGAGGAACAAAGGCTCATTATAGATCAAATCTAATATCAAATGCTTCCTAAGGTATGGGTGAGTAGCCTGTAATGCCACTCATGA